ATAACATTTCAATCAAATTTGCAAGAGTGAAATCCACAAATGCGGAGAGCTGACTGTATTTGTGATCTTTTGCATTCTCCTCTCTTTTTGTAAGCCACCTTGATTCCCAGTCGGGATAAAGGAAAAACATAAATGAAGGGATTCATGGATGGAAGATGCAGCCCCCTGTCCAAAGTCCACCTGGAAAGAAATAGGGACCTCTCTTCCTTGGTCACTCAATAACATTAAAATAATGTTATCTAATTAATGCCACCAGTCACAACAGCCAATACAATTTGGCCACTCTGTCTAAAACAGCATTTCTTTTTTGCTTTGGACTAGTTTCACACCCTTTGGTGGGGAAGCCGTCATGCGAGGCCGTTGGGAGCTTTCCTGGCACCAACCCGTCCTTTCCAAATGATTAAATGTCTCCCATAAGTGTCCCCGAAACTGAAATGTGTGAGTTTGTTTTGAGCCTGGCACTGCCTATACCTGTCTCCATGCCCCACTGGCTCCCTGTTCAGTGGCCCGTGGTTATTAAAATTCCTTCCGATACTGGAGTTGCTGGCCAGCATTCCTGTTTTGGGGCAATCTGGGTTTCTCTAAAGTCTACCAGGGCTCTGAATGTTGGCTTGATGATCAATAAAAGTCCTGTATTTCTGTCTAAACCTTTCTCCTCCATGATCCTTTTGGCCACATGCATCATCTCTCCGATAGATATCAATAAGATCATTAAAAATATATTTTTCCATTTGCAAAAGCATGGGAAAGGACTGCTGACAACTTCCTTATCCACTGTGGGAGTGGATATGAGGTGGCACTCCTTGAGGTGATGAATTGACCAAGGAGCGGAGACATCCATCACCAGGTGAAGCCTGGCGTCAAAACTCCTTTGCAACTCTGAAGAAAAGAAAAGTTAATTTTTGGCTTTCACCCCTACCCGCACCCTACATTTTCTCCTGCAGCTCAGTCGGGATGTCCCATAATTTCTATTTCTTGTCCCTTTTCATCTAAAGGAGAGGAATAATCAAGTTAGAGCTTGACCCAACTAGCCTTAGGTATAGTTTTGTGACTTTAAGTAAGACTGGTGATGAATGTATTCAGTGGTTCTCAGTGGTCATGATTTATTCAGACTGGGTTTGCTTTTGCTTCTTCTGAGGCTGAGAGAGTGTGATTTGCCAAGGGGTTTCCATGGCTAAAGGGGTATTCGAAATGTGATCTCCCAGGGCACTATTTTAACATTCAAAAATTTTTCTCCATGTGATTTCATTGAGAAAAAAAAAAGTTAACCTTATAAACCAAAATTAATTTTGGAATTGGCAGTGGAATATTCTGTTTCGCAATGGGGTGGAGTTTCCTTCTTTAGAGGTTTTAAAGCAGAGGCTGGGTGGCCATCTGTCAATTCTACATAAAGTTATTGTTGTTATCTTCATATCCCACTTTTTCTCTTTTAAGAGGCAAGACAAATGAAAGATAGACTGTCTTAGGATATATAGCTGTGGTTCTCAACCTGTTGATCATAGATGTTTTGGCCTACAATTCCCAGAAGTCCTAACAACTGGTAAACTGGCTGGGATTTCTGGGAGTTGTAGGTCAAAACACCTGGGGACCCACAGGTTGAGAACCACTGTTCTCAACCTGGGGTCCCCAGATGTTTTTGGCCTACAACTCCCAGAAATCCCAGCCAGTTTACCAGCTGTTAGGATTTCTGGGGATTGAGTGCCAAAACATCTGGGGACCCACAGATTGAGAACCACTGATCAAGGTACTCTAATCAATCAGAAGTTGGCCACAGAGTTATTCTGGTGCCTCACCATACTACAGCTCCCAGAATTCTAGCTATGGCAGTTCAAGTGGTGTTCAACTGTGTTAATGCTACCATGTAGATGCACTCATGGTGGAAAATGAAGCATTTCCACAGAGAAAAGAGTAGTACACCAACTTACTATAAAACAAGGTCACAAACCTGATATCAGCAAAGATCTATCGATCCAAACAACGTTTCCAAAGGGTGCTCTTTGATCCACCCGACAAACTTTGTTTTATCTTTGACATCCAGATTACAACTGAACTCTTTTACACCTTAGATGTTGTCTGAGATAAACATGACTGGTAGGCATGGGCATAGCAAGCATACCTCAATTAGCAAATGCAGAATACCTCCCTTAACAAAGCCTTTGATAATGAAGTTTCTTTTTACAAAGTTTTTTGTTACACACTCAGCCCTCTGGCTTTTCCTTTCATCTTTATATTTATCTGAAAGGAGCTTTCAGACATATTCATAGAATCATAGAATCAAAGAGTTGGAAGAGACCTCATGGGCCATCCAGTCCAGCCCCCCACCAAGAAGCAGGAATATTGCATTCAAATCACCCCTGACAGATGGTCATCCAGCCTCTGTCTAAAAGCTTCCAAAGAAGGAGCTTCCACCACACTCCAGGACAGAGAGTGTCAAGATTATGTTTTGCGTCTGTATGATCTGGTAACCTCAATTCCGCTGTGCATAGACCCCAAGGGTCTCACTCTGACAGAGAGTTCCACTGCTGAATGGCTCTCACAGTCAAGAAGTTCTTCCTAATGTTCAGATGGAATCTCCTTTCTTGTAGTTTGAAGCCATTGTTCCATGTCCTAGTCTCCAGGGAAGCAGAAAACAAGCTTGCTCCCTCCTCCCTGTGGCTTCCTCTCACATATTTATACATGGCTATCATATCTCCTCTCAGCCTTCTCTTCTTCAGGCTAAACATGCCCATCTCCTTAAGCTGCTCCTCATAGGGCTTGTTCTCCAGACCCTTGATCATTTTAGTCGCCCTCCTCTGGACACATTCCAGCTTGTCAATATCTCTCTTGAATTGTGGTGCCCAGAATTGGACACAATATTCCAGGTGTGGTCTAACCAAAGCAGAATAGAGGGGTAGCATTACTTCCCTCGATCTAGACACTATGCTCCTGTTGATGCAGGCCAAAATCCCATTGGCTTTTTTTGCCGCCACGTCACATTGTTGGCTCATGTTTAACTTGTTGTCCACAAGGACTCCAAGATCTTTTTCACAAGTTCAGCAGTGGAACTCTCTGCCCCGGAGTGTGGTGGAGGCTCCTTCTTTGGAGGCTTTTGAACAGAGGCTGGATGGCCATCTGTCAGGGGTGCTTTGAATGCAATATTCCTGCTTCTTGGCAGGGAGTTGGACTGGATGGCTCGTGAGGTCTCTTCCAACTCTTTGATTCTATGATGCGCAAATGCCAAGATAAGGGTCCTCCCTAAGTCCTCCAGCACAATTTCTGGTGAAGGTTGAGCGTAAAGTTGCATTGGAGAACATGGATCAAATCCACAAGTGATTTTTCTTTTGGGGCGAACAGAGCCTGTGGTTAGTTCCCATATTCTTTTGGTCCACTGTTTTGGGAATTATAGTCAGCTCTTCACCTTTGCTAGGTTTACAGTCACAAAACTGCTGTGAAAGTGAAAAACCGTGAATGAAGAAATTGAGTTTTGTCTTCTGATTTCGCCGTGATGGTCAATGTCTGCTGGAACCTGGCCACAGAATGTCCTGGGGTGGTGACCTAGAAAGTCTTAGAGATGTGAAATATCCAGGGCTTTTAGCAGGACTGGAGGAAACTGACCTACAGCCACATTGGAGGAGCTAGAGATCGCTAGGGAGAATATTTTAATCAAATTTGTGAATAATCAAATGTGGAGAGACAACTATAATCTCACTCAGTAGCTTCCAAATCTCCTTGTCCTCCAAAGGCCAGGTCTAGTGGAACAGAAATAACTTTGCACTTGAGATTCCATTACTGTTTCTTTGGGGCACTTAAACAGCTCTGGGTCAATTCTCCAGAGGAATTTCTGTCCTTTAAAAAAATGCATAAAAACAGTTGAGATTTTCAGTGTTATTTTAAACTCTGATTTGTCTGTGTCCCCAGTACCTGATCTTGTTTGTTTGTTTGCCTTCTGAAACGAATGGGTAGGGTTTAGAAAGAAGAGGCTGTTCAATGGCAATGGCAAACAGTCCTATGATCCTCCGAGTATTCCTTGTTTAAGAAAAACACAATATGGAATTCAGGGGGTTGCCGTAAATCGACTGTCCACCTGCAGGCACAGGCACACGCAACTTACGACAACAAATAATAATTGCAATTATTCCTTACTGTTAAAAAACATGTTCCACAATTAAAAGGCCAGAGAGTGATTGCAAGGGAGTGACATGAAACTTGCCAGTATAGTGCAGGCCGTCTTATGTTTGACACACATCCCTTGCTTTATATTTTTCCACACAGGCAAAAACTAATAATAATTTTATTGCGTACCACACTGAGATCGCACAATACAGAGTGCCATCTAAATATCAGAATAAATACAATAAAGGGTTTTTAAGAAAGAAAGAAAGAAAGAAAGAAAGAAAGAAAGAAAGAAAGAAAGAAAGAAAGAAAGAAGGAAAGAGTATGCGTTGTGAATTTTTCAGGCTGTATGGCCATGTTCCAGAAGCATTCTCTCCTGACGTTTCGCCTGCATCTATGGCAGCCATCCTCAGAGGTTATGAGGTCTGTTGGAAACTAGGCAAGTGGGGTTTATATATCTGTGTAATGGTGTCCAGAGTGGGAGAAAGAACTCTTGTCTGTTGGAGGTAGGTGTGAATGTTTCACCCTGGACATTCCACAGATGCATGAAACCCCATTTTCCTAGTTTCCAACAGACCTCACAACCTCTGAGGATGCCTATCATAGATGCAGGCGAAATGTCAGGAGAGAATGCTTCTGGAAAATTGCCATACAATCCGGAAAACTTAGAACAGTGGTTCTCAACCTGGGGTCCCCAGATATTTTTGTCCTACAACTCCCAGAAATCCCAGCCAGTTTACCAGCTGTTAGGATTTCTGGGAGTTGAAGGCCAAAAACATCTGGGGACCCCAGGTTGAGAACCACTGACTTAGAACAACACAGTGATTCCAAACATGGAAGCCTTCGACAAAGAAACAATATGTTCCATTCCGTGACCTGATCTCTACTCCTGCTGTTTTGTTTTGCAGGATGACACTGCCAATGAAGACTCTTCAGACGAAGCCTCAAAAGACGGGCTTGAGCCAGCCGAAGAGGTGGACACTGGAAATACAGTGACCAGCGCACTCACTGTCCAGGAGTATTTTGCCACACGCATGGCGAAACTCAAGAAAGCCCAACGTGGACATGACTGTGACCCTCCTCCAGAAACGACTGAAAAGCTGGAGTGCTCGGAGGCCCAGCCGAGAAGAAAAAAGAAACAGAAAGAGGTTGGGCTTGAGAATGCAGCCAGAGAAGCAAAAACAGTAACCCCAGTGAGACTTGACTCAAGTGGAGAAGAGAAGGATAAACTGGAGACCCAGAAGAAGGAGAAGAAGACGAGGAAGAAAAGGAAGAAATCTAAGCAACTGAGCATTGATAGCAGCAGTCTTATTTGTGATGAGTCTCAGGAGGAAGAGTTGTGTCACAGAGAGGCATCTGATGTGGAAGTTGAAGACATAGGGGAACCACAGCCAAAGAAAAAGAAGACCAAAAAGCTAGGAAGGGATAGAGAGGGAGAGGGAGGAAGAACAAAGCCAGGCAAGAAGAAACGCTCCAGTTAACGCTTGTCTGCTGAGTTCTCGAACTGAATTGGTTGACATGTTTGCACGAATGCGACTGACTGTACAAATGAACCACGTCTCCAGCCCAAAAAATTATTTTCGGAAACGGTCTCATCCCTATTTGCAGCCCTTCCTCTTAAGACATTCACCAAAAAGTGCGACTCTTCTTAAAAATCCACAAACAGGGAGAATTCAGACTTTCCAATTTGGGAGTAGTTTTACGTTGTGTGATCTTTAGGATGCATCTACACTAGGCATGGGCAAACTTCAGCCCTCCAGGTGTTTTGGATTTCAACTCTCACAATTCCTAACAGCCGGTAGGAATTGTGAGAGTTGAAATCCAAAACACCTGGAGGGCCGAAGTTTGCCCATGCCTGATCTACACTGTTACAATTGATGCAGTTTGATACCACTTTAACTACAATGGCCCAATGCAATGGAATACCAGGAGATGTAGTTTTAGTGAAGCATCAGCTCTCTTTGACAGAAGAGGCTAAATGAGTTGGAAAACTTCAGTCTCCACAATTCCATTGCATTTTGCCACAACAGTTAAAGTGGTATCAAACTACATTACTTCTATAGTGTGGCTGCACCGTTGGTCAGACTTCAGGCTCTTATCCACTCAGTTGCTGCAGTGGGAATGGAGCAGGGAAAGAATCAACTGAGGAAATAAACAAGTGCTAGAAAAAGACTTGTGTTTAGAGTTCATTTCTGTGTCTTGAAAGAAAAGGATTGAAATTGGAGACAGTTATTATTATTATATTATATTATTATTATTATAACTTTATTTGTACCCTGCTAGCATCTCCCAAAGGATTCGATGCAGCTTACACTGGCCGGAGCCTCAAACACAATACAACAAAACAATATCAAAGCAAATTAAAAACAGTTAAGCAAAGTAAACAACAAACAATAACAATATATCAGGACACTTTAAAACTGGGCCAGCCAGAGTAGTGTGTACAGGATTAAAAGTGCTGAAGTGGCGGAAGGAGTGTAGGATTATAAGGTAAGTGCAATGTGCGGCGTGCAATGATCTTGGTTCTGCTAAAGTGCTTCTAGGACTTGGTATTGGGGTTCCTAATCTGAGAAGGCACATCGGAACAGCCAGGTTTTCAAATTCTTTCTGAAGACTGCCAATGTGGGGGCCTGTCTAAGATCTTTTGGGAGGGCATTCCAAAGTCGGGGGGCCACCACAGAAAAGGCCCTGTCTCGCGTCCCCACCAAGCGCACTTGCGACGCAGGCGGGATCACGAGCAGGGCCTCTCCAGATGACCGAAGTGAACGTGTGGGTTCGTATACGGAGATGCGGTCACGCAGGTAGGCTGGTCCCAAACCGTTCAGGGCTTTGTAGGTAAGCACCTGCACCTTAGAATTGGGCTCGGTAGGTAAACGGCAGCCAGTGGAGCTCCTTAAACAGGAGGGTTGACCTCTCTCTGTAATGAGCCCCGGTTAACATCCTGGCTGCTGCCCGTTGGACCAGTTGGAATTTCCGAGCCGTTTTCAAGGGCAGCCCTACGTAGAGCGCATTGCAGTAATCCAATCTAGAGGTGACCAAGGCGTGGACCACCCCGGCCAGATCAGCCTTCGCGAGGTATGGCTGGGCTCTCCCTTGAATGATCAAAGAGGTATACACATAAAATATCCACTTCCTCCTTAACCAGAACTAACTCACAGGAAAAATAACTTTTTGGACTGCCGGTTCTGAGAACTTCAGTCCAAAATACTTTCTTTCTCCAGGCTGCATTGAATTTACCTGCCAGTGGTAAAACAAGTAGCAGCAACCATCTAGTTCTATGTTTTCCATGAGAATCATGGAATCAAAGGATTGGAAGAGACCTCGTGGACCATCCATCCATTCCAACCTCATTCTGCCAAAAAGCAGGAAACTCGCATTCAAAGCACCCCCGACAGATGGCCATCCAGCCTCTGTTTTAAAGCCTCCAATGAAGTAGTCTCCACCACGCCCTGGGGCAGAGAGTTCCACTGCTGAACAGCTCTCACAGTCAGAAAGTTCTTCCTAATGTTCAGGTGGATCTGGACATGATTATAAAGGGCGGACATCAACCATAGTCGCAGCTGGGTCATAGGGTCCCTAACAGCTACCTAGACATACTAGGTGTTCATTCTGGCCCTATGATAGTATAGAACAGATGTCAGCCCTCCAGGTGTTTTGGACTTCAACTCCCACAATTCCTAACAGCCAGTAGGCTGTTAGGAATTGTGGGATTTGAAGTCCAAAACACCTGGAGGGTCAAAGTTTGCCCAAGCTTGGTATAAAAACTAGATCCAAGGTCAGTGGTACTTTTGAACTTCGTCTCTTAGAAAGCCAAGCCAACATTAGCCAGTTGTTGGGGATCCTGGGAATTGACATTGAAAAAGTAGGCCACCAGTGTTGAGAAATGCTGATAGATGACCAGGTTCTAAGGTTTCATGCCACTCCCTTTGCACTCCCTCGGTCTGGCCTTTTCTTTTAATTGCAAAACAAATTCAGTACAATAGTAATAACACTATGTAACAAAAAAAAATTGTTCCTGGTTTGAAGGTGATATTTCTTGTTTAATTGTGCAGTACTTACTTTGAAAGTCATCGTTATACTTCAGAAACTTGGTTTCTGTGGCTGCCACTTTTAACCTTTCATTGTGTCATATTTAACCTTTTATGCAAACTTCAGAAACAAGGTTTTTGCAGTGTAATAAACTTTTTCCATGTTTTTATGATGGAACCAATTAGAAAATGAAATTTCTAACCTAGGAACAAAAATCATGTGACATAATTGTTTGAGCATTGGGGTCCAGGGTTCAAATTTGGCCTTAGAGGAAGGCCCCATCTTAACAAGCCTTGCCAAGAAACTCTTAGGGTTGCCCTGTGTCGGAAATGCCTCAAAGGCACACAACAGCAGCAACAATAAACATATTTGTTTATGACTTCTACTGGCTTTTCCCCCTTTCATAAATAGTCCAAGGGTGTAGCTATCTATCTATCTATCTATCTATCTATCTATCTATCTATCTATTTATGGCATTTGTAGGCCACCTTTCTCAGCCTTACGGCGACTCAAGGCGGCTCACAGAATTAGCAAACTTGCTGCCATACATTCATATAAATAAAATTAAAAACATTTTACTCAACATTATAAAAACATATATAACCAATTAAAAACATATTTATCTACATTATAGAATAGATGCAGTTTATCACAACTTTCACTTCCTTTGCTTAATGCTATGTAATAGAGGCAGTTGCAGATTTACAAGGTCGCTAACCTTCTCTGGTAAGGAGTGCTTGTGCCGCACCAAACTACAAATCCCAGGAGTCCATAGCATTGAGTCGTGGCAGTTTAAAGTGAAATCAAACTGCATTAATGATACAGTGTAGACGTGCCCCTAGAGGTGCGTTGAGAGATAGAATCATAGAATCAAAGAGTTGGAAGAGACCTCATGGGCCATCCAGTCCAACCCCCTGCCAAGAAGCAGGAATATTGCATTCAAATCACCCCTGACAAATGGCCATCCAGCCTCTGCTTAAAAGCTTCCAAAGAAGGAGCCTCCACCACACTCCGGGGCAGAGAGTTCCACTGCTGAACGGCTCTCACAGTCAGGAAGTTCTTCCTAATGTTCAGATGTTCATTCTTTAACAGTTATTTGGATATGTATTTTTTCTGTGTCAGGAGCAACTTGAGAAACTGCAAGTTGCTTCTGGTGTGAGAGAATTGGCTGTCTATAAGGACATTGCCCAGGGGACACCTGGATGTTTGATGCTTTATCATCCTTGTGGGAGGCTTATCTCATGTCCCTGCATGAGGAGTTGGAGCTGACAGAGGGAGCTCAATCCGCTCTCCCCAGATTCAAACCGCTGACTTATTGGTCAGCAGTCCTGCCGGCACAAGGGTTTAACCCACTGCACCACCAGGGACTCCAAGTGGGATCAAACGGCATTTGTTCTACAGTGTAGAACCAGCATAGGTGATGTCAGAGATTATATATACGTACATCCATTTGTTGGCAACGGAAGCATCCCCCAGCGCGGATGTGACAGGGCCCCAAAGAAATATCATCGCTTTTTTTGCTGGGGGCATGCTTCTTTCAACCTGTGGTTTGCAATATCTGCATTCCTGACATTTGTTGGCACGCTTCAAAAGGGCCTGGCAGCATCTGCAGAAGCAAGCGATGATTTACTGCTTGTGAAAAAAGTAAGTCACTGCTGGCGAATGCACCCAGCAAAAGTCGCCTTTCAACCTGGACGACTCCTTTGCGGTTGGTGGTTTTGGTGACGGCAGACCTCAGTCTCCTTTGCCGCCTTCAGAAAAATGGACTAGAGGGACCCAAGCCTTATTAAATCAAATGGAAGAGGGGTGTGTGTGTGTATATATATATACATATATTTGTTAATGCTTTCTTATTTTCCTTCCCTTGGCCCATCTGCGCTTTGATCATGCCGTAACAACTGCGAAGTTGAACACGCAAGGTGCAATTCTTTGAACAAAAGAAAGTTCCAATCTTGGTGGAACATCAGGCGAGAGACGGAGAAAGTCAACAGATTAAGTAAGAATAAGAGAGCGGTAAATCTGCCATTGGCGTTGGAAAAAAGATGGGAAAATCTCATTCGTAAAGCCTGACAGACGTCCAAGTACAGAGTGCTCTTCTGCTTTGATACACGGCCTCTTAGGTTTCAGGTCAATTTCTCCCAAGCAGCCAAAATGTCACATTTGTCATCTTGGGACTTGGGTGTCTTGGAAAGGTAACATTTCCAAGTTTGTGATAATAAGGTGGATAACTCTTATTGCCACAACTGCAAAGCACAGGTTGCTTTCCATGAAAATGACTGATCAGAATTTGGCAATGGAAACAATCACCAGTGTGGACTATGTTGGGTTGAAATTTGGGGAGTCCTCCTTTTTGGGAAATCAAGGTTCTCATTTTGCCATAGATCCCACTGGGTGATTGTGGGGTTGTTGTTACCTACTTTCCTGCTACAACAGCCTTTGAAAGTAGGACACTCCTTCCTGTCAGCAGTGTGAATGCATGCGGCAGGAGCATGCTTT